TTCTATGTCCAGATCTCACTTTCATGGAGCATTTCCCTTGCCGTAGCACCCAACTCCCCTTCTCTTTCCATTATTCCTCTTTTGACTATGTCTACCCACTTTACCCACTCCTTCCCCGATTTCATTTCTCCTTTCCACTTTCCCTATTTTTTCTTCCTTTTCTGAATTGTCATTTACTTTCTCTGATTGTGTTTCTTCCCTGCCCAGTTCAGTCACTCCTCCCACCTCCTTCAAATTAGAATCTTTTTCCTTTACCCTTACATTTTCATTCCCCTCCTCCCCAATCTCATCCTTACTTCCATTTGTTATTTTCATTCATCTGCCCCCTTCTTGCTCCCCTTCTCCTCCAAAGTTTTTATTATCATCAGATCTAAAGCCAGCTTTTAACCATGGTCCAAACTGATCTTCTTTAAGGCAATTATTTTCTACATCCACCCTTCTTTCCTCACACAACTTCTCAACATGTCCAAGCTAATCACAGTAATGACAAAATATAGGCAAGATTTTTTTTATCTAAATTCAACCCAAACTTCCTTCCCATTACTTCTTGTTTTAGTTCCCCTAGCTAGCCTTTTTCTCAAATCAATTTCTATCAACACTTTAATATGCCTGTAAACAGATCCTCCTACATCAGGAATCAAAACATCACATACCTTTCCCAACTTTGCTCCCAGCTTTTGACCTGTCTCCTTTGAGATCCAGTGTAGTGGAACGTTCCAGATCTAGACCCAGATCGGGAAGAAATTCAAGCAGTCAGCATCGTAGTCCATGTTTTCGACCCATTTTTCCCGAACTAGCATATGGCTTTCAAAACACCACGGTGTTGCCTAAGAACAGCATCACGCTCCTTCTCCGTCGAGAACACAAATTGAAAGGGTATTCGTTTTCAGTTTGTCAACACCGAGCAGGCCACGACTAGCCCAAGACTTCTCCATAGCCTTCTTCACTCCATGGAAATTCATCTGTTTCTCACCAAAATCTTACCCACCAAACTTCGTTTCCCCTCCTCTAAACCCCTTCCTATCTCGTTATTCCCCAGATCTACCCCTTCATCTTCATCGGTGAACAAAGAGAACTTCTTGAACCTCTCCATGATTTCCCCCTCCATTTTGCAGTAACCACGATTACACTTCAGATTCGCTCCATAATGGTGTCCTCGTGAAGATGGTAGAAGATCTGTGAAGAGAAGAGAAAGTCAAAGGGGTTAGATTTTGATTTTGACGAAGAAATGGTTGTGATGTCCGCACTATACGCAATGGATTATAGTACTCCCTCTGTCCCAAAATTATTGTCCAGTTTGAGATTTTACTTTTAGTATAATTTGAACTAAAAATGAAAACTCAAACTGGACAATAATTATGGGACGGATGGAGTATTATAAAAGGTTAACAATGTCCCCCATTTTTATTTTAGTTTAGTTTTGTGGACTGGATATTTATGACCAATAGAGTTAATGCACTGAATAATATTTCTAGCACTATTCGTATGAAATCAATCCGTTTCAAAAGTTTTACTATTATTAGTTTGTAAAAAGTTTTGAAAAATTCCCCCCCAAAAAAAAGCCCAGGTTGAATCAAATAACCTTTTTTTCTCTTGGTTTCGAACTGCAAACTCCCTCCTCAAAATTGGGTTCTCGAGTACTCAAACTAATCATAATCAAAGCAATTTCAACAAAATAATTAACCCCACAATAACTATTTCTGTCAAATATACTTACTTGAGCATACCTTTAGATATGTTCTACAATTCTTGTTCACCGTTCTTCAAATTTCTTATCATCATTGTCTTCTCCACTAAATTATACACACGCGTTATTTTTTTTCTTTGTAATAATGCCAAAACTTTATTAACCAAATTGGGATTCAGTTTCGTTGATTTTGTTGTAACAATTTTTTACCTCTTCAAAGTTGCCCGATCCCGCCGCCGCTTCAACATACTCAAAAGTAATAGCCAAAAATTGATTGTCGCCACTTCCTGGATCCCCGCCGAAGACCCTTCCTCGAAGTTACCTGAATTATTCACTTCTTCTGCCCCTCATCGCCTGGCTGATCTTCTCCCAAATCCCCTAAAAAAAAAAAAAAAAAAACACCGTCGAAGAAGAGAAGAAGGATTTATCGGAAAAAATGAAAAAATGTTGTTCCTATCCAAATCTTTGCCCTCGTCGTCAATCGTACCCAATAGATTTTTGGTTAGCCAACTTTACCCTAATGTTTGAAATTTTCGCCAATTTCGTCCAATCGACCTATTTTCCGTCCAAATTAACGGATATCCATTAATTTTTTAATAAAATAATAAATTTAAATACAAAAACACCCCAGTAGTTTTTAAAAATTTTAAAATAACCTCTAAAATATATAAAAATAACAAAATAGTCCCTTTTTACTTTTTTATTTTATTTTTCTCTATTTTGTTCCATTTCTCTCAACTACTTTTAATGACCATAAAAGTATATTATATGAGTTTTAAAAAATATGTATTTATTTTCAAACTCTACTGTAAAAATTAATTTTTGTATAGTTGTAACACATGATTGTATTTATATAAGCATGTTAATCTTTTCAATAATATAGTTTAGCAATAAAGACACTATGTTTTAGATTTATTTTATTCTTCCTAATATAAAGATTAAAAATATTTAATTGAAACTAATAATCCACATAAAAATAAAATATTAGCTCAAATAAAAAATAATATATTAGCATGTTTTAATGTATTACAATTTAACTAGAGAGACTACATGGCATAATATAATTTATAAAAAAATATTTATACTTATCAATGCGAGGATTTAACATTTTATAATAATTATTTGAGGATATTAATATATCTTACTATAGAGGAAGTCTTACTAGTTTATTCTATATAATTTTAGTTTAAAATAAATGAATGGAGGTAATAATATAGTAATAAGTTGTTTTGATAGAAAATAGGTTTTAGATTCAAGAAGGAAAACTTATGTTTGGAGGATTTTTTTAAGGTTTTAATTATTTTATATTTTAGTTTTTTTTTTATGAATTATATTAATGCAAGTTATAGTGTCTTGAGTTAAATTGTAATACACTAAAATATATTAATATTTTTTTTATTTGAGCTAACATTTTATTTTTATGTGGAATATTAGTTTCATTTAAATGATTTTAATCTTTATGTTAGGAGGAATAAAATAAATCAGAAAAATAGTGTCTTAATTATTTTATATTTTAGTTATTTTTTTTATGAATTATATTAATGCAAGTTATAGTATCTTGAGTGAAATTGTAATACACTAAAATATATTAATTTTTTTTTATTTGAGCTAATATTTTATTTTATGTGGAATATTAGTTTCATTTAAATGTTTTTAATCTTTATGTTAGGAAGAATAAAATAAATCAGAAAAATAGTATATGTATTGCTAAACTATATTATTAAAAAAAATTAACATACTTATATAAACACAATCATGGGTTACAACTATACAAAGATTAATTTTTACAGTAGAGTTTGAAAATAAATAAATATTTATTTAAAACTCATATAATAGACTTTTATGGTCATTAAAAGTAGTAAAGAGAAATTGAACAAGATAGAGAAAAATAAAATAAAAAAGTAAAAAGTGACTATTTTGTTATTTTTATAAATTTTAAGGATTATTTTTAAAATTTTTAAAAATTACTGGGGTGTTTTTGTAATTAAATTTATTATTTTATTAAAAAGCTAACGGAGATCCGTTAATTTAGACGGAAAATGGGCCGATTGGACGAAATTGACAAAAATTTTAAACATTAGGGTAAAGTTGGCTGACCGAAAATCTATTAGATGTAATTGACGACGAGGGCAAAACTTTGGGTAGGAACGACATTTTTTCCTCGAAAAAAATTATAACATAGGCATAGTTATGAAGGGAGTAGAAGACTCCCAATTAAATTTTATACTACAAATAATTTACCAGTTGCCGGTCGTATACACTTTTAATTATTTTATTCTTTTAATGCAAATTCTATAGCTATGATTGATTCAATCTAATCCAACGGCTATTAAATAAATAACGGGATCATACTCTTAAAATTAACAACGGGACTGTAGATTTACCCTTCATTATTTACCTATTACTCTTTTTTTTTTTTGTCATAAATAATGTAAATTATTCCATCTAAATACAATTTCAAACAAAAAAAAAATCCATCTCGATATGGTTAATTTGGAAATATTATCTTCTTCAAAAAAAATTGAAAATATTATCTATGAGATGTCATTATGGTGAGTGTTTCTTTAAACAAATGAGCTTTTCCATGATTGTTTTTCCTTGTCAATTCGCACAAAGATGTTCAAAATTCGCACGATGCACGGGTAAACAGCAATTTTTATAAGAAAAAAAACGAAAAAAAAAAACAAAGAAATAACTGAGAAGAATATTCAACCATAACAAATTGGAGTCAACAAATTTGAGCTATATATATATATATATATATATATATATAAAAAAATTAGATTCAACGCGTACGGATAAGTAGAAACCATGCCATCACTCTCAACTTACTAATCCAAAGCTCTTTCCGATTATGTTAATCATTCTTTTCTGCGACTTTATTTCAACGTTGCTTACAAACGTCAAAAGTACGTAGAAAAACAACTTTCTCGATCAATCTCATGGGAAACTTCTCTTCATTTGAGGGGGGATGTAGACAAACAAAAGTGAAAAACTTAAATCACGCGGAAAGAGATGGATGCTGAGAAATAGTATTGTTAAATTTTTTACATGAAACTTTAGTCCAAATGATAGAGCAATATTGTGAAATGGCCTAATTAATAATTCACGCAAACAAACATAAACTTGCCATTTCTTCCGCGAAATAAAATTGCGGTCAAACGTAAAATGGTAATCTTTTTACTAGCTAAGTTGGACTGATTTGTTTGGGAACTAATGTCTTACTACTGACTAAAACGTGTGATCGATTTTAATATTTGCGCCTTATTGGCTGCAGGATGTATATATCCTAACAAATATGTCTAATTTCTTCGAACCAAAACTATCCACTACTCTATCCCGTCTGCCATTTCTCCCACCTTCGATTTTAGTACTTCAAGTTTAGATTGTTTGTTTATCAATAGAGGATTTCAGGCATCCAAATATAGACTCTCTTTGTAGTTGGAACAAGATCGAAGATGCGGAAACGGATTTCAGGGTTTATTACTAGCAATTGCAGCCAAAACAGAGGGCTTACAACCGCATTTCACAATGCCATGAATGATCATCAATGGAGGTTAAATCCTCTCAGATATTCCACCCCAAGTAGCAGCAACTTAAGTAACAATCGCATGTTTTCTTCTGTTGCATTAAGGTACCGCAGATCAAAGGGTGCTGACAATTCCAAGAGAGCTTTTCTACTGCATACTTTTGGGAAGAGATTTTACAGCAGCTCTGCTGGAAAACCTGTTAAAACAGGACAACTGGAGAAAGTACTTTTCAGTTCTTCTTCTTCTTCTTCTTCTTCTTCTTCTTCTTCTTATTGGGCTTGGCTTAAGAAGCATAAAGTTTTAGGCTTTGCTATGTTTTCTGCATTTTCTTTCTTGAGTTTGCAATGGGTACCAGTATCAGAGAGAATGCACATGGCTATATCAACGGACAAAATCGAAAATATGATTGGCGCTTTGGTTTGGGAGCAGGAAGCAAGAGAAAATCAGGGCCGAATTCTGAGTCCAGACAGTCCAGAAAGTATTCGGGTCACTCGGATTCTGAGAGACATTTTACAGGCAACGCATCAAACATTGGGGTTGAAAAATGATTTCCAAGTGTCCGCCTACGTGCCAAGAAAAGAATTGCAGATGAAAGAACCGCGTCCTGATCAGGATTCGAGTCTATCGAAAACGCTTGATTTCTTGAAGTTTCAAAAGGAGGTTATAAAGTATTATTCATCCCATCCAAACAAAAGGGTTCAAAACGAGCCTCAAACAGTTGAGAAGAAATTCGGGATCAAATACGGCACCAAGCATTTGGAAGGGTTAAACTGGGAAGTGATGGTGATTGAAAAATCTGTAGAGAATGCTGTTCATGTTCCAAACGGAAGGATTATGTTTTACACTGAATGGTTTGAAAATCCTGATTTTAAAGATGAAGATTTGGCAGTTATTCTGGCTCATGAGGTTGGGCATGGATTGGCTCGGCATTCATCCGAGACTCTGTTGAGATTAATTTGGTCCCTGGTCCTTTCTGTTCTAGTTCAAATCTTTTTTGATGATAGTGTGATCTTAAGGAAGGCTAAAAATCTAATCAGTGACACCGTCTTCCCCTTCATTTCCAGGAGGAGGGAAGTGGAAGCTGATCGAATCGGGATGATGTTGATGGCTGCAGCTGGCTATGACCCTCGTCGTGCCCCCGAGTTTTATGAGAAGTATTGTAATCATGACGTCGGAGAAGATTTCATGAAGGCAACCCACCCTTCTGGAAAGAAAAGGGCTGAGGCGCTGAGAAATGATGAAATGATGGAAAAAGCGAAGAATTTATATGATCAGGTCTGTGCTCGACGATGATATCCAAACTTGTAAAAGCTTCAATTGACATGAATTGCAGCAGTTTTGGATCTAATCCTTTTGAATAGTTCGGTCATACTTGTGTCTTAATCAGGTCAATGTAGAAATTATGGTCATTTTTCTTATTGAACATAACTGTATTTGACATTGGAAGTTATCTTACTAGATTTTGAAGGAAAAGAATTTATTTGATTTGATATATGTCTGTTAAATGATCGATATATACTCATCATACCAACAGATTTCACATTAATTTGTAAAACTTCACAAACTTTTGATTACAATCACATTCAACTAACAACATTTAAAATAAAGATTTTGAAGATACACAATTGTTATTAGTCCTCACTCAGACCAAGTGATGTCAAGGGAACCAACATCATCAGGGTCTGAAATCCCCAAGGCTTCCCACACAGCTTTAGATCCATCCACAATGTTGTTAGGACAAGGCGGCTGATAATCATGATCGTCGTCGCATCCCATAGTCGAATCGCATTCGTCCACAACCATAGCCCTAACACTACGATCCTTGTAACTGATGGTGATGTTGTTGAAACACCTGCTCCCGCCATTGTACCATCCTGTCGAAAGGGCTACGATGGGTGTGCTGTCGGAATGGTAGTTGTTGTCGCATTCTGACGGGCCGCCTCCATCCCCGCCTTTCTCGAAACTGTTTATTGTCAGAGTTGCTCTGGTTTGTGAAGTTATGGATGGAGAACATGTGTATGTTCTGTATTGCTCCCCTGCTTTGCAGCAATCCGAGTCGTGTTCTTGGTTGCATTGCCCTGGTGGGGGATTTGTGCCGGTTATCGTCCCGCTGGGCTTGCAGTCTTGGAGTATTTCTCTTCCGGCTGCCTCAGAGAAGTTGTAATTCGAGATCAAAATGATTCCCAAGAGAAAAGAGATCATTATCGTACCACTGTTCTTCATTTTTCTTAGTTTCTTGGTTCCTAATTTGGGTGCCAACTACAGAAGCAGGGGATTGCTTTTTTATATGGATCAGGGCTTTACCAAAATGCCAAAATTGGGTTCAAAAATCTGTTCAATTTTCTGTGTCACCGTGCCATTGAATCGATTCATGTTTCTTTTGATGATCCAAAGGAGAGATCTCACGGGTCTATTTTGTTGCGTTCTCCAGAGGTTACTAATTTGTCTGTATTAATTGTGAACAATAATAAGTATGAAACTGAATACAATGTGACGAAATTACATTCGTGTTTCAGAGTGTTTTGTCTTACTTTCATATTAATTGTGCTGAGATTTTCCCAAATGTATATCAACCATGATTAATCATGAAGGATATCCGGTTTGATTCAAATGCTTTCATATGAGTTTGCTAAGATTTGCAAGAATTTTTAAGTCCAGCGCAAAAAAGTTGAAGAAAGCACGACGAACAATCAATTAGTACGGAGTATTAAATATATCCCTTAAATTAATTAAGAACAGGAGTCTAAGATTCCAAATGTAGCTTATAAAACCTAAGAATTGCATAAATCAGACAGAAGCAACTATATATAACAAGGACAGGAAAGAAGATAAAGAAACTAAAGGACTTTTTGCATCATTGTGGTCCAAGAAGCTATCGCCAACGTTAATCACGCATTGCCCAAGAATTTGTCGACCCGGGCATTGTCCGACCTCGACAGGAACTTCATGCAAATGGGAGGATTAACACCAGCCAAAGCCAAGAGTGAACTTGGTAATGTCCAGATTCCATCTCCACATATCAATCCAGATGCCACAGCTGGTCCGAAAGCATCGGCTTTCGCCCTGTTGGTCTTTTGCCAGATGAACAGAATCAAGCTCCCCACGCACATATCAATCGCAAAGTATGATCCGATATAGAAAGGTATCGCCATTGCCATCGGAAGAGGAATGAATTGCGCATACTTCTTTCCCACGAAGTCCCTTATGCCGTTGATGATGATTGCTCCGGCGAAGAAAACATAGCAGAGTGTTAGACAGTGCTTCGGCAATGAGCTGAACCCTTCGACTCCCAAAATCGCCATATTCCGGTAAACAAGAGCATAAGGAGCTGGATATTTGGAACCCTCGGTTCCCATATCATCAAAGGCCTTATAGAAGAGCCAGAATACACTAGGCGAGATTATACAACCCATGGCTGTTCCGATAATCTGGCTAACAAACATGGACCTTGGGGAAGCCAGGGTCATATAACCTGTTTTGAAGTCCTGAGTCAAATCTGATGCGGTGGAAACAATGTTCATCATGACTCCACAAGCGGCTAATCCCGCAAGAACACCACCGTGAGATGCACCTGCCCAAGCTCCAATTATGAAGATCGCCAGCTTTCCATAGCTCGACGCCAATGACCAATCAGTAAGACCACAACCATATGCATTGCAGAAGGCTAGTACAGGGGCTAAAATATACATGGTGAGAATATGGTACCACTTGAGCTGGTGGAAGATAAATGGGAGAGTTATGATGGAAATGATGGCAATCACAACATATCCAGTAATCGCAACCCATTTCGGGATTTGGTCCTGGAGGAACAATTTGGTTCTCCGCTCATCATCAAAGGAGCTTGGTGGCGATTCAGGAGGGCCGGTACCCCCAACAGGGAGGACTGAACCTGAATCTTTATTTTTCTGGTATTGATGATACAAAGCAATCAAAGTGCGGGCAAGGACTTTGACAAAGTTGTAAAGGCCATCCCCAAGTATCATGGCTATCGCGATAAAGACTCTGTAACCTTGTAGGCCGTGAAGGCTACCGTCTGATTCTTTTGCAGGGTACCAATATCCCTTTTTGTCCTGAATTAGAGGCCACATTACCCCCCAGGAAAAGACTGCTCCCACAAGCACAGATATGTTGATAAGATACGGACATATCATCCCGACACCAACGTATGTAGCAGAGAAATCAAAGTAGAACCTGTTTTCTAACGCTTTCAATCCGAAAGTCGGGAAGCTAACAAATCCACAGCCATCGGCCGCAGTGAAGAACCACTGGAAGAACCCCCAAAGGAAGCTGAAGGAGAAGAACTTCCCTAAAGCACGAACTTGTTTCTTCGCTAACTTGGCACCCGCCGGCGTATGGAAACTATTGATAAGATGAGCTGTTGCAGTTCCGCTGGGATAAATCAGCTTAAAATCTACAATCATCATCTTCCTCAGGGGAACCACTGAGAACAGCCCGAGAAAACTGACCAGGAAGAGAAAAGCAAAGATCCAACCAAGTGATGGGTTCTTAACATCCATTACAGATCTAGAATCACCAGACTGTTTGGCAATCGGATCGCTCATACCGAAAAGGTAGCTGCCAAAACCTCCACTGAAGGCTATGCCGGAAGAGGCAACAACACAGGTCTGGATGACGGTATTTTCCTGCCTGGTGAATGGCTGCTTCAAGACTCCACATTTCTCCAGAAACTTAGTCCAGGTTTTCACGAAAAAGAATCCCAACAATCCAGCAGAGACATTGAGTGATGGGATGATCCCAGTTGTGAGATTCAACTTCATAACAATGAAAGTGAACAGAATTGACAAAACAAAGCTTACAACAAATGCCCTGATGGTCAATTGGCTCTGCCATGACGGCACTTCTACGGACTCAAAAATTTCCTCCACAGATCCAATACCGTCTTGATCATCATCCCCATCAGATTTCTTGTAAAGGGCTGAATTGTTGTTGTTGTTGTTGCTTCCTGAGCGATTCATTGTTCTGCACAAAAGTTTTGTCTGTTTGGGCTGAGAATTGGGAAAATGGTAAATCTGTAGAGGGAAATGGAATTTGATGGAAAGGGTATAGGAGGGTTTAATTGATGAAAGAATTAAAACGCTTGAATCTTTGAAATTTGAAAGAATCTGTTGAGACAAACGCTTAGCTGGAGCGATTAACTACTAATAATAACAATATACGAATCTTTACATTTAATTTTCTTTGCAGGCTCAAAATTAGTAATAAATCAAATGTGAACCGGATTTCTTTCTCTTTATGAAAATATTTTCCCTTTTTAAGGGTGGCATAATAGGATATGAAATTCTTATAAGTTTGGTGTATATATTTTGGAGACATACTGCCTAATTAGCGGTAAATCTCATCGTTATAAGTCTTATCGTTCATGAACCTTATTTCTTTTTTGAGGCTATATCCATAGTTAATACATATAAATGTTTATACGCTTCAAATTCAATGGATTTCTGAAATGTCATAATCTTTCAAGTTAAAGAATTGTGTATGTTTTCGGGGAGGAAGAGTTTTTTTCTTCTTTTTTTTTTTGTGGTTTAATTGTTCCACACAATTAGTTTCGCGAGCAATAGTCGGCCAGGCATTTTATGCGCAATTAATTAGATGCTCTCCATCCAAAATTAGAAAAGAATCCTTTTTACACCTACACGCTTTCATTGTTGAGATATTCTTGTCATTACTCCCTCCATTTCAATTCAATAGACCCATTTAGACATACACGGGAATTAAGAAAAAGGTGAGTAATGTAGTTTATGTGGTTAATTTTAAAGACTAGTGAGTTATTGGTTGATATGAGAGAGTAATTGTTAAAATTAATATATGTTTTTGATTTCAGTGAAAGTAGAAAGGGTATATTAGAGAGTATATAGTAAAACTTAATTAATTGTCTGAAGTGAGACTAAGTTTTGAAACATCCCAAAATGAGAAGTGAGTCTATTGAATTGGAATGGAAGGAGTATAATGTACAATTATTTGGGAAAGATAGTAGAAGCATAAAATCCTCATTGACAAAATAATTGAAGCATGATATATGATGTAACTTTTACCCTATCCCAACCCCAAAAGATAATAACGTAGTTCGGTTTTGTTCCACCCTACGAAGTGTCTTTGATATACTATAATTTTATACAATGTAGGTAATAAGATTAGTATATACATTATCAGAGTATTTGGTGAAGAGAATTACATATATTTTACCGCCATATGATACGTTTAAATTGATGAGTCAAAGATATACTGGTCCTTAGGCTACGTGATTAGACTACTGTTTAATTGAAATTTCTAATCCACGTATCATGTACTTAATTTCATAATTAAGGTTCTTGTCTCTTTCTTTGTAAAAAAAAAAAAAACACTCAAAGTATCCACACAGCTTTTTGCGCCATTCAAAATGTAAATTTCTTCATTTCTTGAATGAGTTGACTACATAATAGGGTGATTGTTTTTTATACAGTCTCCAGGCTCCAACAAAACATCAACAGTGGGAATTGAGATGGAAAAGAAGCCAATTCTTTGCATCACCATTCTATGTTGTGCGAATTGATTCTTCCTTCGCTATTATCCAAAAGAAACATGAAATATGCATCAGAAAATTGTAAGGATGTTTTGAGGGTAGTCTTTGTTTCATTTTGCAGGCAAAGTTATACTGAAATTCATAAATGTTCATACACTAGCACACCATGAATGAATCTTGAGGAACATTTCTAGTCGAATCCAAATGCTTTCGTGCACCCTATATGTGACTTCTACTCAAAACTCAAGTCGGAAATCAGATGTAAACAAAAATTTTACCACAGATGTAAACCTCGAAATCATTATTCCCTCCGTTCCAAAATGATTGTCCGGTTTGGATTGTGTTCATATTTTTATCATATTTTGAATGAAAAAAATAGGGGTTAAAAATTTAAGAACAAATTTAATGAGAAAAAACACCTGCAGAAAAAACCCTAGCTAAGCAGGGAAAATTCTTTCATTGTTTCTATCCATCGTCTCAGGTGGACGAACATGGCGGCAGAATCACCGAAAGATCTAATCCCGCATTTTCCAAATGAAATCAGCGAGGATATCTTAGCCCGGCTGCCTGTAAAGTACCTCGTTAGATTGTCATGCGTGAGTACATCGTGGTACGATCTCATCATATTGTCGTCAAAACAAGGAGGTATCAACAGCTTCGCTCGGTCCCATCTCCGCCAGATTCTGGCCGGAGAACCACCCCGGAGAGTCTGGCTTAATAACCCCAATCATAAAGGATCCGGTGGTCCTCCCGGAGAACCACCCTGGAGAATCTGGCTTAATAATCCGAATCATAAAGGATCCGATCCACCCGGACCACATCGACCCGTCTGCCCTGATTGTAACAAAATCCCTGATTTTGATGCAGAAGAAATCGCCGAGGCCGATCTTCTTCGTGAACGGCCAGAATCAGAGTTCTTCTCTCTTGGTAGCAAAAACTGTTTAGTAAGTTGTGTTGATGGCATCTTTTGAATTGTTAAAGACTGTAACTGTAACGCGGACCTTAAAATATACTTGTGGAATCCTGCCCTGCGACAATCCATTCTGTTGCCTCGTAGTATAGATTATGGTTTTCTTACTCTTGCTGTTGGTTTCGGATATGATAGTCGGAGTCAGGATTATGTAGTGGCCAAATATCAATCACATCAATCACCCTTGGAAGCAAATCAGGCTACATATAAGTTTGATGTTTATAGTCTCAAAACTCATTCATGGACTACCCTGTTTTCCTCTGTTATGGAATCTCCCCGGTATAATAAAAACAATCGGCCTCCTAATGGAATTCTTGATTTCAATAATTTTTCACGCGGGAACCGAGCTTGTATTATCGACGACGGTTTTTGCTATTGGAATCATGGTTTTGATCGCGTTCACTATGTCCAATTGGGCGGAGAAAATGATACAGGCAGCTTCCGGGTTCCCGTCGATTTTATTTCTGGAGATGCTAATCTGAGATTATACAAAGGGTCCCTTGCCTTGTTCGGTATGACAAGACTCAAACTTGAGCATGGGCTTTGGACAATGGAAGGGAATGATCATTCGGCCAATGTGTGGGTGAAGCAATTCAGCGTACCTGGAAGCCTAGGTTATTTTACTCCCGCCAACAGTACGATTAATGTCACCCCGGGCGGGAAGATATTGGGTTATGTTCATATTCCGCAAAGATGGTGTACTCAAACCCTTGTTGTTTATGATCCAGAGAATGAGGGCTTGGAGATCGTGAGGGACGGTGTAAGTCAATTGGATACATACTTTTTAGACGACAATTATGTGGAAAGTTTAGTTCCTGTTGTTCCAGCTTCATACGTTGTTGATGAAGGCGTCATAAATGATGTTGGTGACGGGAAGAAGCTTAGCAAACCTAAAGCCAAAAAAGCTTGGGACAACTAGTGTTTGGTTGTTTTAGTGCAGCCAAGACCTAGCTAGTTATTGTGGAAGTAGTTTTTGCTTAATAAATCAGAGTTGAAATTCATACATTATTCATCATAGCTTTCTTTCAAGGACTCTTTCGTAATCGAAGTATAACAAAAGATTCTTATTAAGAAAACACACATCATTTCGACAAATTCTTTTTAGTACTCGAAAGTTATGTGGGAAAATCTATGCATAACAAACAGATTACTCTGTCCGTTCCAAATAAGTCACATTCGAGTTTTCAGTTTGAATTATAGAAGGTTGCTACCACGTTTGCTTCAAGGACTTTCAAAATCTATGCATAACAAACAGATTATGTTATTTATCAAAAAAGCATCATATCATCATCTACGTATATAATTACATGACGAAGAGCCTACACAGCAATAGTATTGCACGGTTTAGTAAATTCCCATCTGATACGGACGCTCACAGAATTCCCCACCAAGAACATCGCAAGCTTCTCCAAGCAACACCCTGCAAAACAGACATAATTTTGTGCAAAACATCGATTTTATGTTTTGGGTTTGTAAAGATTTAGGGAAAAAAGAAAGAAGGAAGGTGATATTACGTCTTTGGGTCGTTGTATTGAAGATAGTCCCTCTCAACCAACTCTGAATTTCTTATGGTGCTTTTTCCTTGTGGTTGGAGCTTCACCTCTGGAAATATGTCTGCCAAGCAAGCATCTCCTCCAAGTGTCTCACAGGCTTCTGCTGGGAATACCCTGCAGTTTCCAACACAAATATTTGAGCCCATTCGCTCAAAATCAAGTACCGCAATCCTAAGTGAAATGAAATAGTAACTGATTTGACGTAAATAATAAAAACTCTTACGAGTATGTGGAGTTGTAGTCCACTGTTTCGTATACGGCAGTAGCTGCAGCAGCAGAAGTTTTCAGAGAAGAAGAAGAACGGAAGCCGGCCGCCGCCGACAAGGTGGCTGGCTTCGGGGCTAATGGTAAATTTGTGGGTAGCTTGGTGGCATTGGGAGTTACAGTGGTGAACAGAGGGGTTGCCATGTTCAAAGCTTGCATTTTTGGACAAACTTTTGGTATGTTTTCTCAAACTTAATTTTGTAAATTTCAAACAGATAAATGATCTTAGATCTGTGAGCACTCTTCCTGATGAACCCAAATTTATAATGCAAGAAATTTAGTAGGAGATGAGAATTTCCATGAACTGAGGAAGGCTAGAGATATTTGTGTGGGTGTGTGGGGTAGAAGTTCATATGGATAAGGTGATGACGACCTTTTTCTTCTTGTTTTCTCAAAATTTTTCACATATTCTGGAATGTTGATATTATCTGTAAGATGGAGAAGTCTCCTCCAAGGCACATCATCCTAGTCAATAATTATAACCCAGATCAAATCATCTATCTCATTTTATGTGCATTTATAACTATACTATAGTGCTACAATTAATAGCATAGTTATTACAAATTCAAAGGAATCGGTCACAAGTGGCACAAAAAAGATAGCACGGATTATTTATCTTGTCATAGTCATGTATATTCATCTAGTCACTAGATATTTTGTGGGCAAAAATATCTTCCTCCATCTGACAATTCAACCACTGAAGCGTCCTCAATCCATACCCAAATACTGTTGAATTTACACCCTCGTTACTGCATATGGAGAAAAAGTAAAATAAAATAACAAAAAGTTAGTTCATCAGCAGCTAATCAACTCTACAACCATTTTCAAAAAAAAAAAAAAAATCTACCACACGCCACTTTGAAATTTAGAAGTTAGAACGAAGTTTGGAAAATTAATGTCTAAATTGAGTTATCAAATTTGTGATATTTTAGTACAAATTTGATATTTATATTAGTTTTAGTCAAATATAAATATTTAGTTTAAATTATTTTTTTGGGACAGAGAGTAAGATTTTAAAAAATAAATCCCCAGCCCATAGAGTTCTTCATATTTCAATTTTTTTAAGTAAGAATAGTTCATATTCCATTGGTTTTGATGTCAACAGCCCCACTAATCGGAAGTGATTGTAGTTAGTGACAGTGTGAAAACAACATCGTCCTTGGAAATTAGATGATTGAGAAGGAAGGAATTCAAGATCAGGTTAATTGGGATTTGAATCTGGTCTAAACAGCAAAAACAATTAGACTCGTAAATGATAAGAAGATAACATCCCTCTCAATAAATTAAATAAACACAAAGATTTGTATAGCAGCTACACCGAAAACACATATCGGCCAACCGATGGAGGAAGGTTTCCCTCTAAGAATGAAGTAAACATAGTGATTGCTCGAACTGGCTGGTTACTAGGAACATAATGCCCTGCCCCTCTCACCGTCACAAACGGGAAATTCTCATATCCAATTGCATATCCGCCAACCTAACAAAAGCAACAAAATAATAAAACAATGTAAAGAGCACTGTTAATTATACTCCTGAGATATTAAATAACGTTTCATTTATCAGATTAAGTTATTTTTATTTTCAACTTGATTACATTCGTATAACCCACCCGTCACAACAAAATAAAAATAAAGGAAACATATTAGTTTATTATTATTATTATTATTATTACTATTATTATTATTATTATTGTTATTATTATTATTATTATTATTATTATTATTATTATTATTATTATTTTGAGATGGAAGAAAGTATTTCTTACCTCGCCATTGATATACCATGGATACCAAGGAGTTTTGACGGAGAATCCCATTTTGCTTATGGCATATCTAGTTGTTGTCACCGACACATCTCCATCTGTATCCCCACTGCAATTTCAAAATGAATATTAAGGGAAAAAAAAAGAAGAAGAAGAAGAAGAAGCTCTTGATGACTATTAGTAATGCCTTTGGATAAAACTGCATTTAACTTGCACTTCTTAGGTATCGAAATAAGTTTGGATTTTTTTACTTTAGTAAATTTATTTGGACGGAGATGATTGTGCAGTTTGGATTTCTAGTCCGAAGGAGTATTAATTGTTATTCTGCTGCTCTCGCTCTAGTTGCATTCGATGCTAAGCTGGCGGCGTTTAGATGTCCTAAGACGGGCTGATGTTTCATGGCGGGTAGTTATATTTGTTTTACACTTTCAAATTTTAGCTTATTTGAGGAAGTCTAGGATTAGATAATGTCGAGATGTTTCCCTTTCTCCTCTTGGTGTCAATTTTTCCAAAATAAACAATGACATTGCATATTTTATGAGTAGGTATAATGTTGTGGGGGTATTTCTAAGTATTTGGATTCTTTGAGACCATCATAGAGTTTTGATTAGGCAATGGAGCGTGTCTTACTTGTGGGGGGTGGGGTTTGGTTTGCAAATTGTAGGGAAGTTTAGGACAAATTAAGCCTTCAGCTACTAAGAAAATGTTCTATCTTCTCCTAATAATTCCCTTGGGCTATCATATACGGGAAAACTGTTTTGCGAGTGATGAATACTCCTTTTTATTCCACGTAGCATCTTCTTTTATGTTCCTTTCCAGATTTGCCTGACTGAATGTTTGTCCATACTGTTGGATCATTCATCTGATTCCTTCAGATATTATCATTACGCTCTATCTATATTTTCCATATGATCATGAGGAATAAATCTATATCAGACTTGGAAGGGTGTGTCTGTATCCACTGCACAAACCATTGAAATAGAGAAGCACATGTACAATTAATTAAGGAAGAGAAAGAGCCAGGGCCATACACCAAATTGCTTGTGAGACTTCGCAACTGATGAACAGATGTAGACTATCTTCATCATGTCTGCCACACCGAGGGCTTGCCATATCCAACTGAATACATCTTTCATTAAGATCTTCTCTGGTTGGAAGCGCATTTAAAAGAGCTCTCCAAAAGAGCATTTTTTGCTTTGGTTGGACCGCGTAATCCTTAAAAAAGTTATCTACTTGATTAACCCAAATTCAAAGCTTAGTCCTTCATCAGTGTGACATTCCAGTTTGCCCATTGTCACGGTATAAAATTGAAAATGGAAATAAGAGATGATGAACAATAAATCAGCAATTTTCGGATTTTCCTCTCCATCCTCCTATTTTTTCCATACTTTTAATTGGGCCATAGATGCAGAAATTCAGGAACTTGATTTCTGCTATATTATATGCAGCAATTCATGAACTAATTCAGAATCTATTTGGTAATGTGCAACACATGTGGAAATCCTAGCGCAAATTACATTATGAAGAAATTGGAGAAATGTTACGGCTAGAAAGATTCTCAAACATCATAATCTAATATATTAGATGTTACTCGCAGATGTGTGAGGTTAATTCATATGAATTTATTAAAAAGATAAGAATAAAACAAATATGGCTACCAACATACCAAATAAAAATATTACATGTCATGCAAAATAAAAGTATTTTATATCTACATACAGGAAAAAATGGACATTAATATTATATTTAAACCGCAGCAAAATAGAAGTACACTAAATGTTAAAGATAGTTGCGAAGATTAAAGTATTATACAATTATTTTATTAAATTCATATATATTACTGTTGTTGTTAACTTTTATTACAAACAACTATGATAAAGACATAGACTGTTGTGTGAAGATTCATCTCTTTTAAAAAACAAAATAAAATCTCATATTTGTAAATATTTAGATGAAAAAATTCAGAAGCTAATCTTATATTTACATCTAATTGTAATGCTTACCAGAGACTTGCATGCATTACACACTGGAACTAATTCTCTTTTGAAAAACTAAGTCTTAATTTCTTAAAATGGTATAAAGATATCTGCAGACATATATATATACAATATATATATGTGTGTGTGTGTACGTGGCTTGGTCATGATTTCTCTTTGTTTTGGCTTCTCCTTCATAAAACTCTATTTCTTGCGGTAAACACACACAAAAAATCAACAACACGACATTGCCATTGCCATGTTTCTCTTTGTTGTTTTGGCTTCCCCTTAATTGTTTCTCTTTGTTTTTACTTTAAACACGATATTGCCATTAAAAAAAAAACAACACAAAATACAGATTAGACAATTAATGTTATATTTTTCTTTTTTTTGCCCATACCTTTCTAAGATAAAATTCAAGGAATTGCTAAAGTCACCATCCGCATAGGATCGTTTATAAAGTGAAATTCTTCTCTCATATGCATTGTTCATAGTGAATCTTGTAATTAACACTCACTCTCCCAAACGATTGTCTATTTTAAATTATTTCTTATTTAACAATTTGAACTAAAAAGAAAATCTTAAAATGAACAATCATTTTGGAACGAAGCAAGAATATGAAGCTCAAATTTGTAACTTTTTTTGGCGGTGAACATATATACATACATATACATACATACATACCTACATACATACATACATATATATATATATATATATATATGTTTGCTCTTTTTGAGCATAGGTGGATCAGCAACAATGGCTTTGTACATGTTTATATAGGCTACCAAGGTTAATAATACTACTTTTTAATAAAATCATGTTTTGATAATGATGGCCTCAATCAATTATAATTATGGGTATCATTAGTATTATAAAATTTTAAAATTTAAAAATGTAAGGTTAATTATTACTAAGATAATATTCTCAACTAAATTAATTTTAGATATGATTTAAATTAGTAATATCTACATCCTTTTTTAAAGAAATTTGAGGTAATTTTATCTTCTTTCAACTCGGTTTATTACATTAACTAATTAATTGGTTTTTTACATGAAGTTAAGAGCACATTTCCATTGTTATTAGTTAACATCCAAATTGATTCTGGGCATATTTAATACCTCATAAAATTTGATCGTTATTTTAATGATAAGGTAATAAAGCACATTCTATTTCAAAATGTTACCCAGGAATGAGTGTAAGTTTGTTTCATTTAATTTGGAGGACTTTTTCCAAATTACACTAAGATGTTTTTGGGGAAATATTTTAGAAAATTATACATAGGATTTTACTTGGGTGATACCTTTTGGAATACATTTTGCTTTCTCTCTATAGTTTCTCTCTTAGTATAATACTAAAGATTTTTATTTTTTTTTTGGTAAACATGCAAAATTATATTACCACAAAGGGGACAAAAAAATTTACAATATATTTCTTTGCAAGGCATTCCTCTGTGTCATGATACCTAATCTGCTTAAATACTCTAATTCAACTGATCTTCCATCTTTGCACACGAATTGGACCTTCCAACTTACCTCCTGCTTAGTTCTTTTTGCTCTTTCTTCCACTGACAGCGCCATCTTTTGAAACTTCCTCTGATTACACTTTGTCCAGATGTGGTATACCACTACAACTATAACAGAAAATAGCACCTTCAGTACCCTAAGTACACTAGCCTACAGTTTTGGAATGGACACCTTTACTTCTAACCAATTCAACAGAGTATTCAAAAGTTGCTGAGAATAGGACCAAGTGAAGAACAGATGGTCTATGATATCCACCCC